GGGGGGCGGGGCGGGGGTGCCGTGGCCGCCGCTTCTAACCAGCCGAGCGCGGGAGGAGAGGAGCGCTACTGCCTGGATTTGCTGCGGTGAGGCCGGCGGCTGCTTCTCCTGGTTCCGCGGGGAGGGGTGCGCTGGGCTGTGCTGGGCGGGGCTGGGCAACGCAAGGCAACCCCCCTAGGGGATGTGGTTTGGCACCTATTGGCCTACTTGTTTTGCATATATTCAAATGATGTGACGTAGAGGCCCGGAACCTGCCTCAGTCGCCTCTGAGAAGCGTCTGCAAGCCGAGGCTGCGTCTTAACGCTGCTTCGGAGAGCGCGTTAGTTTCCCCTCTTCGTCTTCCAGGATTTAACATAATTTTTGCATTATATTTATCTCCCGACCATCCCCCAAAGGGTCCCAGTCTTCCCCTTCTGCATTTTAAGTTCAGAATAACCCTGTGAAGTTGTCTAGGGCGCAAGGTCATCTAAGGCAGCGTTTCTCAACCTCTGCACCTTTAAGATTGGTGGACTTCAGCTCCCAGAATTCATGCAGGCTGGGGAGTTCTGGGAGTTGAAGTCCACACTTCTTAAAGGTGTGGAGGGTGAGAAACACTGATCTAGAGTAGGATTTCTCAACTTTGGCAACTTTAAGATAGGTGGACTTCAATTCCCAGAATTCGCCAGCCAGCAAGGAATTGCTGGGGAATTCTGGGAGTTGAAGTCCACCCATCTTAAAGTTGCTATGGTTGAGGAACCCTGATCTAGAGAACTTCGTGGTGGCACATGACTTGAACATGGGAAACCGATCTTAATGAGATGCTTCACTTCATGTCCTTCAGATATACTGGACTATGACTCCCTGCATTTTTAAATAACTCCTAAGGTGCCCATCTACTGTTATCATGCTGATGCATCTGGGGGGCCTCAGGCAGTGAGGGAGGTTGCTCCATCCACAAACCATACCAATCCTCCATTGTTATTTGCAAGGCTGCCATTCCCAGTACCAGTTGTGCTTGTCCTCTGGGGTGTCATCCTCTGGCTTCCTGTATGGCAACCAAGAATAGATTTTATGCTTGGGTTTGTTGTATGCATTTTCAAGTGCTTGTTACCAGTACTATTCACCACAGAAAGAAGAGCTTTTTGTTAGAAAGAAGAAGAAAAAGCTAATTTGCTTGCTAACAAGTGGATCAGAATAAAATTTTCATTTATCTTAACAATAAAAGTGTATCAACACACACATATGGGGGATAGTACCATTAACATGCTTCTAAAATACAGTGACCATATGTCCTTCATTATAAAGGATAGTCCTTTATTTCAGAAAACTGCCCTTTAGATTTATTTATTTTTCAAAAACCCACTTTTGTCCTTTATTTTGGTCATTTAACTTTTACCATACAAGTGGTACCACTTAATGCACAGTCTGATTGCAGAAATCCTTTTTAATACTTCTTATAACTTCATAGCTTTTTATGCTTTTTAGATATTTTTATTAGAATATGTGTTGTAAAGATTTTCTTGGTTTTGCTCTTGAATTTTCCTTCGTAAAGCAAAGTTATATACATAAACATTATCCTTATGAATCTCTTTCAGATTTGCCCCTTTTTCAGATTTGTCCTTTATTTTTTCCAAGAAAATATGGTCACAGTATTCTAAAAGCATGTTGGATAGAGCAAGTAAGGTGCTGTACAATAAAAAAAGACTCCTTTTGTAGTCAAAGCTTTTCGAGTACCTAAAAGTAAAGGGGAGGGGAATGGCCAGAGTGATGGAATGTGTTGCACCTCTTCAAACTTCAGTTGGATCCATTAAATTTTTGAAAAATACATTACTGTTGTTTTTTTGCCTTTTTGAAATCCATAAATATATATATCCATATATATAAAAACTAATTAATTCAACCTGAGTTAGAACTTTATTTTTTCCCCTAATGATGGGAAAACTTTTTATAGACCCTATTATACTTATTGTTTATATATATGTAACAGTTCTGCTATTAGACATTTTATTATATCTGGCCTTAGGGCTGTAATAAACTGATTTGATTTTACTTTCACAAGTGCCCTCACCTGTGATTTGAAATGGTGCAACCCATTCTACCATTTCATTCCAATACATTTCAGCTTTCTGTCTGTTGGGCACATAAACTAATATTGCCAGGACTGCCTTTTAATGACCAGCAAAAATGTGTTGCTTTTTCTCTGGTGATAAAGTTAGAAACTCTCATTTAATACTTTATGGTTGTCTTCAGATAGCACCTAGGTTACTGTTGTAATCGCTTTTGAAGAAATGGTGTGCCTGTACCCTTAATTTTAAAACAAGTCCTGGGCATCATGTATTGAGCATATACTCCTACTTTAGAACAGGAGTGGGCATACTGGTACGCTCCAGAAGATTTGGACTACAATTCTCATTAGCCAGCCTGCAGACCAGTGGTATACAGTTCTAAGAATTGTAAGCCAGAACATATGAAAAGTACCAGTTTACATCCCCCTAATTTAGAGTAATTGCAAAAGATTGCTGTATCCTTTTAATTGAATTGAGACACTTTTTATCTGTTCTGCTTGTGATGGAAGCAAATGCTCTTATTTATTCTTTGTATATCTAGAAAACGGGACTATGAAGGCTTCCTCTGTGCACTGCTGTTGCCTGCAGAATCGCGTGCCTCTGCATCTGCCCTAAAAGCCTTCAATGTAGAACTGGCTCAGGCAGGTATTAAAATATCTGTTATACCATACAGTGTAAATATTTTTTTTTT